CAGCAGAAAACAACAGCTTATGTAAGGCCAATGGATGGTCAAGACCAGGCTCCTGATGAGTCTCCAAAGCTGAAGTTACCAGCAGAGACGACCAAGTCATATAGGGGAGTGCCTTCAAACAAGCCTGATTCGTCCAGGACCAAGTCAAAGATAGCCAAGTTTAGCATTCCTAAGCAAGAAGAGGTAAGTGGTTTTATGCTTTTTATGGCATACCCCCTTGGATGGATGGATGATGCCTTAGAACTGCAAATTGCATCTGTCTCTACACATTTTTAACATATCAGTTTGCATGTTGAATTTTCTTTTTAACATTAGCATACTGTATTGCAAATAGCAGCCTCACAGTAATGTAAGGATATCTCAACAGTGAAATGCTCACTGTCTTCAGGACCATAACACTTCCTACAATGGCACATTTTCTAGTAGTATATATTATTTCAGTGACTTTTTTTCCTGAATGTCCACATATAAAGTCTGGATTTATTTTTTTTTTTTTGCTAGGCAGGTGTATTACTTCTACCTGTTCATATTCCGCTGACTTCTTTCTCTTTGGCAATGATTAAATGAAGTGCTTGGGATCAGAAGTAGTTCTGCCATCCTCAGTGATGTCAAAGTAGTTTTGCAATCTAAATAAATTACTTAAACAATATGAAATTTGTGGAATATATGAGAATACAGCAATGAGACTCTCCTTTTAGTTCATAGTGTCTGTTTCTGTTTCAAACCAATTTCTGAGAAGACTGAGGTTTGCTTCCTAAAGAATCACCATCTGTAGAAACCCAGCCATGCTACAAGTATGAGAACATGTCTGAAAAAGCTTCTAGTCAACATTTCTGTTATCAGCAGTAGATATGAAAGATTTCTGCTTGGACTTATTTTATGTTCATTTATTTCACATTCCATTTATGCCAGTAGGACACCTTGCTTTATCACTTATACAGTCTGTGATTTTCTGTTTGATCTTTTTGGACGGAGAGGAAATGGTTGGTTTTGGCAGACTAAAGGGTGGGTTTTTTTTTTTTCTGGGGTGTATTCTGAGGCCTGTATGCCAATACAAAGATGGTTGCATCATCCTCTTGTGCAAATTGGTAGAGCTCCTATGACTTAAACGATTTATAGTATTTATAGGACTAAACGACTCTATTTGGCTGAATCACTGTGACTTTCTCAGAGCAGAGACAATGATTGTTTACTCTTATTTGACAGCTGTGGTGTGTCTTGAGATGTTTTTAGTCTTAACATTTTTGTTTCTGGCATTGTTAAAGGAAAGGAAAAACCTGATTTTTGGTGGAGTTCTCTGGCCTCTTAATGCCTGTTTTTCAGAAATGGAGTTGACTCTTCTATTCCCCCTTTGGTTCGGTTTGGGAAAGAAATCTCTCTGGAAGCAATTACTTCTCTCAGCTCTTTTAGGCATTATACCCATGTGGGTTTTCTCTAAGTTAAAGTTCCATCAGTTCCAAACAACATATCGGTGATATGTTGTTCCTGAAAAGGGGTTGTTTTAGGCTCTTAAGCCAGATTTGATAAGCAAATTTAGCATTCACAAACTGCTGTAATTGTGCAGATAGATCAGGTAATGGCAGATACTAATTTCCATTTAGCTATTATTACCTCTTTCAGACTTGTGCTTCTATCTGCAGGTGGGAAGTATTGTTAGAATTAAAGATGCCTGTGGCAATTATCTGGATCTTTCAAATTTTCCCCCTTTACATGTATGCAATACTCTAAGGACTAGTTTGGAAAGGAGTTTTGATAGGCAATCATTTGTTTGTCTGAAATTCAGGATTTACCATTTACATTCCAAATTCTCCTACCCCAGGAAAGAAAGCTTTCATTTGTGGTACATAATCCATGCTGATGCATAAGGGTAAATTTATACTGCAGTTTCTAGACATGTAGACGTATTTGAGATGATTGCTTTAAACTAACTCGCTTAGATACTGATGGCAATGTAGGCTACAGCAGGAGAAAGTGGACTGCAGGGTAGCTGCTAAAGTGTTCACCAACTTCTCAGATTTTATGGGATGCAGTATTAATTAAACAGTATTTGATAACATAATAGAAATATTTAACTGAAGTTGAAGGAGGCGGACAAAAAACATTGCCTGGTAGGTTAAAAAAGAGGTAAGTGATTATAAAAAATGATGGACAAATTACTCAGAAGAAAAATAGTAGGTTCTGTAGTTGTTGGGGCTTGAAACTGGAGCTAATGAAAGACAATGTTTAGGTCTCATGTTGGAGGGCTGAGAGTCCTGGTGATAAAAGTACCCAGCTTTTTTTTCCTTTATCCTGACATTTCCTTTGTTCTAACATTTTCCATCCCTAGTGGCACAAGATGAAATTGGCAACCCACTGGTATTGCTACAGGGAGAAATATTGACCAAGACTGAAATTTTTTTCAGTCAGTATTGCCTAATCCACCCTCCCTTTAATTTTCAATCAATCATACTTCTTTTTATTTCAAAATGTTTTTTCCATTCTTGTTATTTGTATCATACATCTCCTAGTACAGTTTTGTAAGAATTTCCATGCATTTTTTAAATTTCTGCTTTCAAACTCATAAAACTTCTCCTTTGCATCAAATGTTCACTGTCCCCTATTAGGGACAGAAGTTTTAAGCTGCTCTCAGCACAAAAGCTGTCATGGTCCTGTGAACATTTGCAGGCAAAATGCGGCCCCTCTTGTTCAGGGTGGGGCTAAAGGTGATGGCCAGGAAAGTCCTTGTATCCCTAGTGGCTATGGGAAGAGTAGAGATGCCATATAGGATGATCATGAGGGAAAGCAGGCTGACAAGTAAGCTACAACAGTGTCTGGGAAGCTGTATGGAAACAGAAATGGGAGTGGCAGAAAGTTGCCTAAGAGCAGCCAGGAGAATATGGGAAGCAGGAGAGGGGCAGAGAGCTTGGGGATAGGGTATCTGGAATGCAGGTGGTGGAATGAAGCTGTATATCTGCTAAAATAAAAAAGGCGTGTGGCTGAGATGGGCTAGGTAGGGCAGTTAGTGTGCTCTGGGTGTTAGTGTAGGCAGCACCGTGAGATGTTGCTGGCTCGTGGTCAGCTTGTTGTCCACCAGGACCCCTAGGTCCTTCTTTAAAGAGCTCATGTCCAGCCAGTCAGCCTCCAGCCTGTACTGGTGTTGGGGTTATTCCTTCCCCTATTCAAGAGTTTACATTTCCCCTTGTTGAACTTCCTGAGGTTTCTGTTGGCCCATTTCTCCAGCCTGTCAAAATCCCTCTGGATGGCAGTGCGACCCTCTGGTGTATCAGCCACTCCTCCCACTTTTGTATCATCTCCAAACTTGCTGAAGGGGCACTCTGCCCCATCATCCAGGTCATTAATGAAGATGTTAAACAGTATTGGCCCCAGTATTTGTTGTGGGACACACCACTAGTGAGTGGCCTCCAGCAGGACTTTGTGCCACTGACCACCACCCTCTGGACCTTTTATAGCCTTTGCTTTCTGTCTGCAAGCCTAATTTTGTCATTACACATTTTTTTTCTACTTCTGGCTCTTAAAATGTGTTCATAGTGATACCATGGGCCAAAGCCTATGCTTTTCAAGTTGGCCTGGACAAGTTCTACTGGACAAGTTCTGAAAACTGAACTGCAGGAAGCTGTAAGGGAAAAAGATGCAAATAGGGGAAGGAAGATGTGAGTGCAGGGTGTAGGTGTGAGATAAAACATGAGACTCAAAGGATGAAAAATTGGGGGGCAGGAGGCAGGGGAGAAGCTGCCTAGCCTGACCAAGTAGAGAAGTGAATGGTGAGAAATAACCATTTCCCCAGTTCCTGTAGAGTTGGGGCACATGAAGTAATAAGAACTTCTGTGTGACGTTTCAGTTTTATTTTGAACATCATGTGACTATAGGAAACTATAAAACCCAGGAAACAACATTATATTCTTATAAATCCCCTGATTTGCAAGTCCACTTACTAATGCATTCAAGTTGAGTCTTCTGTTTCCATGCACTTGCATTTAGCTTATAGTACTTCCCAGAGTCTACCGGTATATCTGATACCTATGCACTTTTATTTGTGTTTACCAGTTTGAAGGAACCATCAGTGGAAAAATAAACACATAATGAAACAAAGTTAAGCCTCCCTGTAAGAACTGAAGAATAAGAGGCAATGTCACACAAAGTGTGTGTGTCTTCAGCAG